CTAATTGCCCTGGCGTCAAGCAGTCTGTCTACCTCCTCAACAACGGCGGCAGTGTGCTCCGTGGTTGACCGTCGGCCTTTCTAAATGATCGGCTTACATTTCGGATCGACATTCAGATGGTGCTGTGAAACTGACGGGTCTATTCCCGGCATTTCGTACAGAGTCCACGCAAAGACGTCAAGGTTGTTGAGCAAGAAAGTGATTAGCTGCTGCCTGTTGGCCTGATTCAGAGAGGCGCCGATCATGAAGAACTTTTTTGGGCTGCCATCAATGTCAACTCGGTCTAAATCTTTCGTGGCCTTCTCATTTGGATACCACCCAACATCGTCCAGGATCTCCCGATTCGGTACCTCAATGGAGTTTACTTGTAGTTCCTTTGACGTTCTGGCGGCAAGGAGATAACATGCTTGTGCCGATTTCTGGGATCCGCGGATTTGCTCAATGCCGTGTTCTGTTGGGAAACGTAGTAGTTGATGATAGGTGCTTGGGACGGCCTGCAAGGTATGCAACCACGATGACCCCATGATGAGATTGTACGGCGATGGAAGCCTGACGACCAAGAATTCCATGTCCACCGTTCTGGAACCTGCTCGAACGAGTAAGCTGATCTTTCCCAATGGGTACTCTGGAGTGGCATTGAAGCCGAATAGTGGATAAGGAGACGGGGTCAGGTCTGACTCGCTGAATCCGAGTTTGGTGAAGGTTTTATAATACATAACCTCCGAGGTACTGCCCTGGTCGATAAGAACGTGTTCGACGGTGAACCGGTTTACGCGTAGCTCAACAACCAACAGATCGATGTGAGGGAGTGTTACACTGATCAAATCAGAATCGTCAAAGGTGATACTTGGCGTTTCTCGGGGCCGCTTTACTGGCGTGAGTTACTGTTGGGGGCCTGGATGTGATTGGATCGCATGCACGGCTGGGGCTGCTGGCAGGCTGTATATCATGTAGACGGTGTCAAGCGGAAATGCATCATTCGGACGAGCAGGTGTTTCGACCACACTCCTCGGATGCATTGGTAGAGACGTTCGTCCTTTGCCAACTCCTCAAGATGATCTGTTGAAGCATGGTGGCCGTCAGTTTCTTGCTGTCGGGTCCAAGATCGTTGATCATCTGCTCTCGGGGGTCGCTCAGAAGCCTGGCGCACCGTTTGTTTGGATTTTTCTATTTCCGAGGCTAGATTGCGACGAAGGCGTTCGTTCTCAGCGATGATGTTGTCCAACCTCTGTTTGGTTTGCCTAGCTTGTGCCATGGTCGCTTGTATTGTCTTTTGCGTTGGGTTTGGAGATGAGCAGAGGTCCGAGGCAAGTCTTGCTGCGATGGATTTTGGTCCAAGCGAGTTCGTTGGAATGAGGTCACCTCTCTGTGCGGTCTCGTCAGTGGCTATCGGAGGATCTTTAGTCACGCCTGCCATGGATGTATTTGAGTATTCCCACAGACGGAGCTAATTGTGGAGAAGTGGTTTGGAAATACTCTTCAAATCCTGGGAGACACTAGTGATCCTCAGCTAGTCACCTGAAAAGACACAAACACTCCGGTCGGGGGTGCCGGAATTAGCACTCCGACGGATAAGTTAGTTCAGACACTCAGAATAGCTTGTCTACTAAGTTTTGTGAAGTGATTCTTACATAACTTTCTAAATCTGTGGTTTTTGTATTTATACTTGCTTTTTGGGCCTCGGGGCCTGAGCCTACTTTTATCCCATTCCCCTTTTATTCATTTGGAGCCACTGACCTCCGTCTACTTGGCTTTCCTAACGTATTCGGCGTCCTAGTCACGCAACATGAAGCCGAACAGTATCTAATTTCTGGGGTACGCATCTTCCAACTGTTCTACTTATTCGGCTCCCACACCACTCTTGTTTGGGAATATTTAAAACTTGACTTTAAGAATTACTAGGACACGAGTTTGTAGAATGATCAAATATTTTGCATTCTTCACACAGATGAGATTTTAAAGGGACTTTCACTTTGATTTCAAAAGGATCACCATTTCCTAAGTTAATAACAAAGGAAGTTAGGATCTCTTTGGTAGCTTCTACCAAAATCTAGCAAATGTTAAGCTGCTATGATTTTGAGTAAATTCATCAAGGTACAATGTGTTGGGCATAAATGCACCAGTTATTTCAATATTAAATATTTTCCTACAAATAATTAGTTTTGTATAATGGATTGTGGTTACTAATAGTAATAAGATAAATCAAAATTAATAAGCCAAATGATGGGCCTAATCTATCTTTGCATTATTTGTAAAAGCCAATGCATGGGTTGATTCATTTATATCTATGAGAACTCTTCATATGTCCTAATTTGTGAAATCATATTCAATTCAAAACCCTAGAATTGGGTTAGTGATAGGGTTCAATTTGAAACCCTAGAATTGGGGTTGGGCTAGGGCTAGGGTTCAATCTGTGAATTCAAAAACCAGAATTTCAATTCACAGAACCCTATAGGTATTAAAATGGAATCAATTCTAGGGTATCAATTTAAAATGGTATTAAAATGGTATCAATTCACAAAACCCTATTTCAATTCACAGAACCCACATTGGTATCAATTTGAATTCATAAAACAATTTGAATTCACAAAACTATTCTTGAATTCATAAAACCCCCAATTTGAATTCACAAACTATTCTTTGTACCCACATTCACATTTTCACAAACGAAATCAACATAAAAAAAATTCAAACTGAGAGATAGATAGATAGATAGATAGATAGATAAAGAGAGAGAGAGAGAGAGAGAGAGAGAGAGAGAACAACAAGCGACCTACAAAGAGAGAGTGGGAGTAGAGATCAACAGAGAGAGGGAGAACTGGTTCAGCCTGTGGGGGGAAAAAAGATGTGTATAAAAAGCGTAGTTGCAAATGAGGAGGGGGGTGGGCCACTTTATATGGCTTTTAAAAGCGTGGTTACGAACCATGCTTTCTTTTAAAAGCAGATTTTCTTTAAAAGCGTGGTTACGAATCACGCTTTCTGTTGAAAGCGTGTTTTTGAATCGCGCTTTCACTTAAGCTGAAAACACTAATAGGAACAACGTTTTCTTAATTAAAAGCATGTTTTGTAACCACGATTTTATGATTTTATTCATTTTGTGCGCTTGGGCCAGAAACATGCTAAAAGCTTATTTTGTAAATACGCTTCAGCTTATTCTTGGAATTTCGGCCAAATTAGGCTTAGTTTGGGAAATAAGTTAGTAGGTTGGCCTACTTTGGGAAAAGCATGCCAAACATAGTTATAGTAAAAAAAATTAACTGATAAAAAAAAGTCAATAGATAAATTAAGGGATAAAATTAAAAATAAAATGTCCTCCAAACAAACAAATGTACTCCTTACCAAACTATTTTACAAAGTAGACCTCTCACACAAAAAAAATATTTACTAAACCTAATGTCTCATATCCTCTTTAAATTGAATTTATCATCAATTTATTCAAAAAATTATTAGATACCTTTTCTTTTCTATTATTAGAAGGAAATCTACTCAAAAAATTTAGACACATAGTATGATTTTGGAAAAATTATTGATTGGTTTAAGGATGTCATGTGGTTATATTCTTAGCCAATTATAAATTCTCACATTCTTTATATTTTTTAATTATTTAATATAAAATTTTGAACCAAAAATGTTAGAAACTCTAAAAACTTTGTTAAAAATTTTACTAAAAATTTCACATAAGTATAAGACTCACATGGAATTCACATTGTGTAGGTCCCACACCCATATAAGTTATTTAATAGAACTTTTGATAGAATTTTTGACGGGTAATGCTAGGTATACTAAATTTTTTATTAAATAAATGACCAAATATCTAAAATTCGTAATTTTGTAAACCTATATAAGATATTTGATCATATATTTAATAAAAAATTTAAAATTTATAACATTTTTCATTTTTGACACCTCTAGCCTTACACATTATGAACCCACCTCTCAAACAAACACAACTATGGCAACACGTGGTTGTTCATACGTCTCTCTCTCAAGAAGACACAGTGTAGAATTGAAATCAGATTAATATATTTGAGTTTAATTTTAAAAAATTAAAAATTCTTTGCAAATAAAAATATATATATTTTTAAGATCAAACTGTTGAGTTTTCTTTTATTTATTTATTTAAACCTTGACTTTGGCGCCCGTTGAGACCAATGATTTTTTTAAAAATTTTAAAAATATTATATATTATACGAAATTTTTTAAAATAATTTAAAATTATAAGGATTTGTATCTCCAAATTTTTTTAAAATAATTTTAAGTTATAGGAGATGGCATCTCAATTTTTTTTGATAATTTTTAAATTATAATATTAGGTGTCGTTTGGAAAGAGTTCATTTGGGCTCTTTTGCCTCTTTGAGCCACAAAAGACACGGGTGATTATTCAGTACTTCCAAAGTATGGACACGTGGTGCTCCATAATGTTTTGATTGGTGGAGAGACACAAAGGCCCACGATTTATGTTGGAGATGGGGGACAACATGAGGCTAACTGATTGGTGATTGGTTTGGAGTATGGACACGTGGTGCTCCGGGAGTATTGAATAATTTCCCCAAAAAATTAAAAAATAATTTTTTAAAAATAATTTAAAATTATAAGGATTTGTATCTCAAATTTTTTTTAAAATAATTTTAAGTTATAGGAGATGGCATCTCAATTTTTTTTGATAATTTTTAAATTATAATATTAGGTGTCGTTTGGGAAGAGTTCATTTGGGCTCTTTTGCCTCTTTGAGCCACAAAAGACACAATAAATTATTTGAGCCACAACAGACAAAACATCACATCTAACTTATAATCATTACACTCTTCTCTCACAAAAAAAGTCAAAAAAATTAAAAAATAATTTTTTAAAAATAATTTAAAATTATAAGGATTTGTATCTCAAATTTTTTTTAAAATAATTTTAAGTTATAGGAGATGGCATCTCAATTTTTTTTTTGATAATTTTTAAATTATATTGAGTGGCTCCAATTTTCCTCGTTCTGTCCACGGTTTGAGACCGTTGTTTGAGACGGTTGACCCCTCTCTCTCCCTTCTTTTTCTTCGTCCCTTCGCTGGTCTGTCTCTTTCTCTCTCTCCCTCTCTCTCTCTCTCAATAAACAAGGACGGAGGAATGAAGGAGGGATAATGGAAGAACTGCCCAAGTTCTCTCAAACCCACTTCTGCACGCACTGCTCTCCTACTAAAGAGAACTCAAAAAGGTTTTCTTTACTCTCTCAACTTTATTTTTTATTTTTATTTTTGAATTTATAGTTTTTTTTCTTGATTCCTTTCTTAAAATTGTTTACTTGTCAATGCTACTATATCTACTGGTATCCATAAGTTTTTGTATTACCGTTTTGGATTTCCATTTTCTAGATTTTAGCTATACTGCAATGATATATCTATTCTATTATATAAACCACACAACTCATTTGGTATGAATGCCTATGTGACGCCATATTCTGATTTCAAATTTTGTTTTTTCAACTTCTTGTCATCATATATACAAATGTTTATAAACATAGAATTCAGTTAACAAATCAATCAAATTGACAAAAAAAAAAAATGATGGTGAAGCTGAAACAGATTCTGTCAGGACTAACTGAGTTGTAGGCTTCATTTTTCAGCTTATTTAAGCTTTCAGCTTAATTTAAACTATTTTGATGTGTTTGGTTTAGCTTAAGTTTTTAGCTTTTTGTAAGTCAGAAATCAGCTTATTTTTTGAGTGGGACAGGAGAAGCTTAATTTATAAGTCAGAAATCAGTTTATGTTCATAGTTATAAGGTATAAGCTGTTAAGGTATAAGCTATAAGTACTTTCCCACAGCTCTACCAAATAGGGCCAATGTAAATTACTGGTCCATACAATGCTTTTTTTTAAATACCAGCCCAAATTTGTCAGTAGGGTCGGAAATTGCCAGAAAATGAAACAGAATTGCAAATGTTTTTGTTTTGTTTTTTGTCCAGGATGGTATGTACTTTCCAGTACTTGCTGGTATGGAACGGTATTCAAAACCTTGCTTAAAACTTGGATTACGGTCGGTTGTTCCTGAGTCCAGTTGCATAATTGAAGTGCAAGGCATTTGTTTGATTACAGTCACTATTCATAAAATTGGGTCACAATTTTGGATCAAATAATTGGAAATTCTGTTGAAATTTGGTCAATTTTGCTGCGTTTTTAAAAACAAGTCAAGTGCTCTCATGCCCAATGACCATCACAATTATTTATCTCTGATTCAAAATAAAAAATCTTGACACAGCTTAGGCATCCGTAGGATTATCCGACATAATTCATTTCTATTCACTTCTAAAATATCTAAACCATTGAATGAATTTTTTTAACGAGTGATGTATGCACGTAACTTTATCAACATTTTTGGCCTAGTGAACCCAAGTTCGGCCAAGAACTATTTGGCTAAGTTCCTGACCGTTCAAAAGACTTGACAGTAACTGCATACTAGAAATTGGAACTAGTGGTACTGTGGATTAGAGGATGAAACCTAATGCTATCGAACAATGTGCATCAGGACATTGTAGTAAGGTAAATTTTTGTCCAGTTCTTCATTATTGTTAGTAAAGAAGATGAATATTTGTCCAGTTTTTCATGAGTTGGAATATGAGATAGCACTGACAATACATGTCTAACTCCCTGCCCTCTACTTATTTTCCTATTCTGCACCATTGCTATCTCCACCTATTTGGTAATCAACTTTCAACTTCCCAAAAAGAAGATAGGAAGACATGAATATTTAACAAATTCCTCTCTTTGACTAGAAACTCCAGATCCTTAAGCATGTGCACGCATAAAAAAAATATGCCTTTGCTGTTCTTACTGGAATTATGAAGTCAACGTTTCTCCATTCTTGTATTTGTTTCCTTTCTGTATCACCCATTCATTTCATTTGATCTAACTCTGTCATTCTTGTTAAATGCTTAGGAGAATGGAAGAATCCTCAGCAATTATTCTTGTTGCTTTTCTTGTAATATGTTGTGCAAGTGAAGTGAGATCAGATGCGTCAAATCATCGGTACAATGCTGGAGATCCAGTTCCTTGTTATTCTAACAAGGTTGGACCATTTCACAATCCTAGGTAAATGTCTCAATCTTTACATCAATGGATCTTAAACCACTTTTTTTCTTCTTCTTCTAAGTAATAATTTGTTAATATGCAATCAATCTTTGTGTTTAGTTCAACTTGGTTTTTTTCTACATTTGTGGGATATCTATATGGGATTTTCAGGGTTAATGTTGCTTCAGATATTTATTTGCTTCCTTGTGGAAGTTGCATTTGTAATCTTCTGGTTATTAAAGTTGTTTATTCAACTTTTAATTTTTATCATGTTTCAATATGTATGCTTTCAAATTGGTTCATTTTCTCATCCTATGTTTTGTGGTTCTTTTGAAAGTTTATGCTTCATTTTATTTCAATTGCACTAATCCACTGATTTTTACTTTCAATTGGGTAGCAACTTTGCTTATTGTTTCTATTGGGCAAGTGTATTTGATAGCACATGATCCTAGGCTGTTACAGTACAACCTTTCTTGTTTATATCTAGCATAGATTATATACCTTACTTTAGCTTTCTAATTCTGCTTTCATTGTTTCTTTTTCTTTGATTACAGTGAAACATATGCTTATTATGATTTTCCCTTCTGTTTACCAGGTTTTCATCTTCTTCTTTTTTCATATAGTTTTAATTGTTGCTCTTGATAGGTTTTCCTTTAACCATTTCTGTTTTTGTTATTGTTGGCCCAATTCATTGACAGAACATGTGAAAGAGAAGAAAGAATCCTTAGGTGAGGTGTTGATAGGAGATCGGCTTGCTTCTGCTCCATATAAAATTGACTTTCTAGTAGAGAAAGATGCTGAACTTGCATGTAAAAAGAAGCTGAAAAAGGAAGAAGTTTCTCAGTTCCGAACTGCACTTGCACAAGACTATTACATTGAAATGTACTTTGATGACTTGCCAGCTTGGGCTTTCATTGGAAAAGTTGACCGGCCTTATTTAGCTGAAACAAATGACTACAAGTACCTCCTTTTCACACACATGGTATTTGAATTTCTTTATAATAAGGAACATGTGATTGAGATCACTGCTCGAATAGACCAAAGTTTCGTGATTGACCTGACAGAAGATAAGGAAGTCAATGTGGAGTTCACTTACACTGTGAAATGGAGGGAAACAAACATTGCATTTGAGAAGAGGATGGAGAAGTACTCTTCGTCTTCTTCGCTGCCACGTCACTTGAGAATACACTGGTTTGCAGTGATGAACTCATGTTTGGCAGTTCTTATCCTACTTGGTTGTTTGGTGATGTTTTATGTGCGAGTCCTCAAGAAGGATATCAATAAGTAAGCCAAATATTTAAACGTATGCCAAATATCCATTTTATTTATACATATTTTTCTTTTACTTCAAATGTTATTTGTTTTATATAATTTCTTGAAAGGTATGCGAATGATGAGGAATTGCTTGATAATCAAGAGGAAAAAGGGTGGAAAAACATCCATGGTGATGTTTTCCGGTATCCAAAGCACAAGTCGTTGTTTGCTGCAGCTGTTGGTTCTGGCACCCAGTTGTTCATTCTGTTGGTATCTTACTACAACTGTTGGTCTATTTGGCCTATCGCAATTCATCTGATATTTTGTTTGCAATTTCTATTATTCCATGCAGTATGTTGTCCATTATAATGCTAGGATTTGTTGGAGTATTTTATCCATATAGCCGAGGAGCGTTGCTCACTGCACTGGTGGTCGTATATGCAATTACATCGGGGATTGCAGGATATACAGCTGTTTCTTTATATTGCCAATTTGAAGGGACCAATTGGGTGAGTGCTAAAGGGTTCCATCTGCCATTTTTATTTTTTTTGCTTTGAATTTGGTGTGAATGAAAAATAAACCATGTGGACTAATTACACAATTCAATTTTTTTGGTTTGACAGGTGAGGAATTTGTTATTGACAGGTTGCCTTTTTTGTGGGCCTCTATGCCTTACATTCTGCTTCCTTAATACTGTTGCCATCACATACAGAGCAACTGCAGCGCTGCCACTAGGAACAATTTTGGTATTGTTGTCTATATGGGTGCTTGTAGCATTACCATTGCTTTTGTTGGGTGGGATTGCTGCAAAAAATAGCAAGTCTGAGTTCCAAGCTCCTTGCCGCACCACCAAGTATCCTAGAGAGATTCCTCCACAGTGTTGGTATAGGGGTATTCTTCCCCAGATGGCAGTGGCGGGCATATTGCCTTTTGGTGTTATCTATGTTGAGCTGTACTATTTGTTTGCTACCATATGGGGTCACAGGATTTACACCATCTATGGCATCCTATTTAACGTCTTCATAATTCTGGTCATTGTAACTGCTTTTGTGAATGTGGTTATGACATACTTTCGGCTTGCTGCTGAAAATCATGAATGGTGGTGGAGGTATAGTGTCTTCTTGCCTTTGTTTTTTAGTCTTATTTGTTTATTTTAGGTCACTCCTCGATATTATTTTTAGTACATCAAAAACTTTTTTTCTCTTCTAGAGACCTGTTGCTCTGTAGCTGCATGAATGAATTTATACAAATTTGTTAGGTGCTAGACAATACTTGTTTTATAAGTAGAAGCCAATTAATTCCACACACTTTACACATCCACTTGTGGCCATATGAATTACTCGATATCCAACAAGTCAATTTTTTCTGAGTTTTAGGAATCATATTATTTAGCATGGAACACATTGAGACAAACTTTGTTGCAACAGACTCAAAATTTATTTAGAGGGCTACTACCTTTTTCCTTTGGCCCCCGCCTTTTTTATATTTTTTTATTACAATTTTACCCTAACATCAATTTCCATTTTTGACCCCATCTCTATTCCTCCAACCCTAACCCCAGACCCGATCCAACCCAACCCAACCCCATCTCCACATCCACCTCCACTCCGGCCAGCAACCTCCCCACCATCACCAGATCCGACCACCTTTGCCATCCTCCTCTTCTCTTCTTCTTCCTCCTCTTCAAACTCTAGCCACCTTCACGAGAGATCAGAGAGAGAGAGACAGAGATCGAGCGAGAGAGAGAGGCGACCCAGACCGACGATCCGAAACCAGATCGACGGCAATGGGGGGTTGAGGGAGAGATGGTGGTGGTGGTGGTGGTGGTGGGTCTGGTCTGGGGATGAGTTGGCGACGATGACAGGGAAGATGGCGATGCCGTCGATAAGGAGGGCTGGAAAGTTCATGGTGGGAGTGGCCATTGGAATGCGAGAATCAGATAAAGAGAGATTGGAGCATTTGGCGATGGCGGCGATAGGCTATGCAGGTGGTGGAGGATAGACAACGACAGCAGGTTGGTTGTCGGAGATGGGGATGGCAGAGAAGGGAGCGGCCATTGGAATGCGAGAATCAGATAAAGAGAGATTGGAGCATTTGGCGATAGCGGCGATAGGCTATGCAGGTGGTGGAGGATAGACAACGATAGCGGGTTGGTTGCCGGACATGGGGATGGCGGAGAAGGATGTGGCCAGAGGTGGTAGTGGTTGGGTTAGGAGAGAGGGTATAGTTGGTATTAAGGTGAGGGTTCAAAGAGAAAATGGAGAGGAACTCACTAACCTCTTCAAAACCTCTTTGTTTTCTTCGATTTGAGCCAATCAGATTTTGAATCTGAGGTGTCTTTTGTCATTTCCCTCATTCAAGGACCATTTCCCTCGAGTTCCTCTCGAGGTTAGTTCACTTTTCCTGAGTTTTCAACTTTATTTGAATTCTTCTCTCTCTTAGGGTTTGGTTTGTTCAAAACTTCATCATTTTGCTCATTTTTGCTCATTTCTGCATCTATTCCAGATGGCTGACGATGTCCCGCATGATGGGGGTTTCCCGGCACTCCCTCCAGCAGAGTTTGCCGCAGACTTTGCGGCTGAGCCGGGGGTTGAGCTTGAGCCTTTACCACTGAGCGTACGTCCCTTCGACCCCGCGAGGTATCACCCGAAGACCCATATTATACTAGTGGCGGGAGGCATCCACACTTTCACTGATTTCGACGAGGACGCACCAGACGATCTCTTGCTGAGGGAGCCGATGTCTCATTTGTCGGCCATTGCTGTGGAGGTACCAACTCTGCTTTTTCGTTCAGTTGAGTCAAGTGTTCTGTCTTTTCCCCATTGTCAACATACTTGCCAGAAAGGGCACAACTGAAGCTAACAACAAAGGGCTGAAAGCTCTCTCATCCTCCACGCAACGAGGTATCAAGCCAAGTGCGAAGCACGAACCGGAAATGGAGCAGGATATTCCACTCTCTCATTTGGACAGATCTGATCACGTCCAAACTCCCCAGCAGAGTCGCCAGAAACTGTAGACGCGCCCTTGGGCTTCATGCTACTATAGTTCGGACTCAAATGTCACGGTTCTGAATCTAATCCCGCAAAGTGCAATGCGAGACCGATAAATCACCAAAGAGTCTAAATCCGACAAATCATTTTGAAAAATTGATTTTTAAAAAAGAAGTGCCAAACATAATACAGTTAGGTGCTAATAGCAGCCCTCTTTATTTAATGCATAAGCATGTCATCTCCAAGTTATCATTCAATATATTGATTATCGGAAATTGCCATTGCTTTGGGTACCTTCAGTTGGTTTGTATTTTTTGTGTTTATAACTATAAAAATGAAAGAAAATAGGAGATTTTCTGGAGAAAGAAAGGGAAAGCATAAGATTCCCTCTTTATCTTCCTAGCCGACCTTCATAAAACTAATAATCTAAGTTGCCACATAAAGTGAATGCTGTTTGGGGTTCTCTAATACGGAAAAACCTAAACTAAATAGTATATGGAAAATTTTTGCTAGAGGCTGATTGCTTCTGAGAGTAAGTTGAAGAATAGTTTTTTCCCTCCCCTTGGATATGTGCATACACTAGCTTAAAGGGATATCCTAGAAGTTGGAACCTACTCATACTTCAGTTGACCCCACTAGAAAATCATAGATGTGATCTTGCTCTATCATCTTCATGTGTTTTTGGGTGTAGTGTTGAACAACTTCCTTGAGATTACAATCCAATTATTCCCATGTGTATTGAAGTAGTTAAATGGGTTGCAAGTGTCATATACTATGTTGCTTACTCTCATCTCTTGCTTTAGCTCTTAAGACATGCCACATTCTCATTATTGAAATCTGTGGTTGCATCATAAATTTCCTAGCTGTATGCAGAAAAAGATATCCATTACTTTTCTATGGGTTGTGTAGACTATAAAGTGCAGCCATAACTCTAGGAGTTCACTTATTGTAGAAGATTTTCGAATGTGCTATCTTCCTACTTCTCATTCGACTAATCACAAACATCAGGCTCTTTTATTTCACCATTCATATAGCACACTCCCTTGCTTCATGAATAAAAGAATGGATTGCGACCAGATGAGACAATGAGCACTATTTAGCTTAGCTGTTGTGTTTTGAAAGATGGAGTTACCACTTGGATGGTAATCTGACCATCAAAACATATCATAACTGAAGTAGCCACTCGAAGCAAACACATAGAGGGTACGGGATCTGACCACCAAAACATATCATAACTGAAGTAGCCACTCGAAGCAAACACATAGTGGGTACGGAATCATAAATCATCCTTGAGGGAATCCCAAACACAACATAGTCATAAGAGCCAACAAAAGTTCTAGCTTGATCTTCCATTAAGGAAAATTGCATTAAGCACTCAAAGAACACAACATTTCCATCATTATAGCATCTTAATAAGGAGTTTGGTGACAATAATAATAATAATAATAATAATAATAATAATAATAATAATAATAATAATATAAAAAATAAAATAAAATAAATCCTAGAAGGACCAAGTAGGTGGAGGTGGTAGTGGTGTAGTGGGTTAGGTTTAGTGGAGTAGGTTTAAGTGGGTGAAGTAGGTGGAGAGTAGGTGGATTTTAACAAAAAATAAATCCTAGAAGGACCAAGTAAACAAAGTCAGATTAGGATGGAACTTTGCGAATAGATCAAGCAAGGATAAAATTTTGCAAAGTGAAAGAGTGAAATCCTCCAAACCCCAAAAATCCCGAAAATCAATGTATCCTCTATGCAAGCTTGGATTGGTTAGAAAAAGACATTGTTCTGCTTTTCCGTTGCGCCAAAAGCTAACTCTTGGCTCATTTGAATAGTTAGTTCCTTTTTTGGCCTTGGCATGGATGGCTTCTGAACTTCAGTTTGCTCTTTGAAATCATGCATTTTCTTAGTAAATGATCATTTGAAGCAAACTATTTCTCGTCTCTCGGAAAATATGAAAAAAATAGAGTGATGTTTACCGTCTGCATGTTAAGTTGATGCAGAGCATTTTTGAACTTTAGTTTGGAAGTGTAGTTAATATTCCTCATAGAGTTATAATTCATCACTCAGCCTAATCTGGGGCATGTTAGTTAAATCACAAGCCATAATGTTTGTTCTCACTGCCTTGATCCATATTCTTTTTTGAGTTCTTATCCTTCTGGCATCCTGAACTATAATTAATTATATCTCACTTCCTTTTTAGTACTGTTATTCTTCTTCATTCTATATAGTGAAGCCATCTTAGATGACTCGCCATCATTTTTCCCTAAATTGGCACTGCCTTTACTGATTAAGTATTTGTTTGTTTATTACATTTATATCCCTCTTGTGATGCCGTCTATCACTCTTTTAACATCTGTCATTTTGGCTGCTGTCTTTCGCACCTTAAATTCTTAAACTTGTGCATTCTGGGTTATTTTCATAGTTGATATCATACGCCTTGTGTAGCTTATAATAACTGGTAATGGAAACTACCTATAATGCGATTAAATATGTAGCTGTTTCCAGGTCATGAAACTATTTCTTAACGAGTTTCTTACTGTATCAAACCATGCTGATTTGTTAAAAAGTTCACTTTTTTGCTAGTGTTAAGATCTATTACTTGATCTCCACTTTTTTTTGCTAGTGTCAAAATTAGGCAAATGATATATAGGCCTCCCTGAGTTTTCAGTCTGTCAATTTGCGCAGACTGATCTGAATGCTTGATTTGATACAGGTCTTTTCTTTGCGGCGGATCAATAGGCTTGTTTGTCTATGGCTATTGCTTGTACTACTACCATTCACGGTCAGATATGTCTGGTTTGCTGCAAACATCATTCTTCTTCGGTTACATGGCTTGCATTTGCTATGGCATTTTTCTTATGCTTGGTACAATTGGTTTCCGTGCTTCGTTGCTCTTTGTTCATCACATATATGGCTCTATCAAGTGTGAATAGCTGACCATGTCTTCGAGCAGTGTTCTTCCTCATTTTCTTCCATAAATTCAGTTACAGAAAAGGTTTAGAATTGATTAGGAGATTGTGATGTGCATTGGCTTAATTGTTTTGTTGGTATTTGTAATGGGGAGAATTTTTATGTGAATTTTTTTTTTTTAAAATGTTGCATTTTTCTCACAAATTGTTCAAAGAAAATATATGTATGTTTTGTTGTGTCAAACTGATTTGGCCATTTGGGTTTGATTTCTTGATGGAGTCTTGAAGAATTTTGTCTAGCTTGAAAACTTTGGATTTTCTGATTTTTGCATCCATTCCCTTCTTGTGATATTTGCCTGCAAATTTGATTTACATTAAGGTGATCACATTTGAATAGTATTTGATGTGTACTAACTATATCACTTACTAACTACACAAAATTCACTAAAAACAAATAAAAATTTAGATATATATTTTTTGGACTTTCGTTTGTTTTTAATGATTTTTTTTCCCCATATTTTGTTTTTTGTTTTTTTTTTAAAATTTTTTAGATGAATTTAATCTATATATCTACAAAGTAAAATAATTTGACTAAAATATGAAAAAAAATTCAGTAAAGGCAAACGAAAATTCGTTTAAAAATAATTTTTGAGAATTTAAACCAAACAAATTTACTCAACGAGACAAAGAGGAAAATTATTATTTTTTTTTAAATTTCAAAAAAGTCCATAAAAGACAAAAATCAGGCTTTTCAAAATTTTTGTAATTTTTAAATTTGTATACCCAAGACAGAACGGAAAACTAAAAAAATTTGATATAATTTTGGAAAAAAAAACAAACACTAAAGACCAAAAAATTGAGAAAAAAGTAACTTATTTTTTGTGTTCGGAAACCCCCCACTCATACATATTTTATTATTTTTAATTTAAAATCTTACTAATAAGTATCCTTAAATACAAGATAAAAACAAAAGAAAAAATTGATAGATTCTTGAAAATTCTTAAAACTTCCGGGACATTGATTTGTGATTATAATTCAATTTTAAACAATGAATAAAAATTACAATTAAACAAACAATAACAAATCGGTATAACAATTTAACGTGAAAAAAAAAATCACAATTGAAACACCTCTAATTGTGATAAAAAATCACAAGTCAAAGTCACAAAACAATTCACTCTATTTGATTAGAAAGAAACATATGATAGAAAGTGAAGTGAAAGAGAAAAAAGATAAATGAAATTTTATTTTCTTGCATGTGTTTGACTAGGATGAAAATTATGTAAGAAAATGATGGAAAATTTTCAATATGTAGTTTGGAAAGCATGAAAGTTATAGAAAAATTATTATATTTTCCTAAATTGCCCTGATACTTCTTTTACAAAACAACAATCACAAAAATATGTCAATATAACAACTTAATTTTTTAAAAAAAGTATTGCCAAGCATCAATTGACATACATGTCATCCAATATTATTTATTTATTTATTCATTTATTTTTGCCTTAACCAAAAATACTGACAAATGAAATGAATTTTATTCATTTAAAATCAATGCCATAGCTAGTATTATTTATGAGACCCAAAGAACATGTAGCAAGAAATCTCTTGAAAATTATGACTAACTTACTTCAAAATACAAAATGACAAGTTTTTTTTTTTTTTTTTTTGAATGACTGTTCATCTTTGTGCTATCAAAAAACATTGACCATTAGAATTTACTTATAAATCTTCCTAATATTAATACTAATTATTTTGGAAAACATATAAAAAACTAAAGACCAACACCCAAGAGTTTATAGCAGTAGTTAATTAGGTTTAAAAAACATGACTAAATTTTAAAAATGTAGCTCAAGCTCATACTTAGAATACTAGAAACTAAAATCTCACACCTACCTAGGACAAATACCAAACAGAGACAATGACCAGAACCAAACAAATTACTAAGAAAGAAGAATATCAACAAAGACATGAAACTATAATTTAGAAACTTTATCCAACTTCAACTCCTAGCCATTACTAAATACCATCCGAACTGCCTTGTGATAGTTGTTGAATTAAAAACAAGTAGCACATATCTTAAGGATATATCAGAAATGCTCTGGCTTTTATAGGATCTCCGTTCAAGTATTCAAAACGAGTCATTCGGCTATTGATATCAAGCTCTTCAACATCCATTACGGCCTTGTAAAGTTCCAAATAATCTATGCAAGGCTTACTCTTCTCATATGCATTAGCCAATCTTGCCATGTTAGTTGCAATGGCAACTATTGTTTCAGCAACAAGCTCCGCACCTTTTGGCTTCTTTGACTGCTCTGTCACTAGCTTTGAAGATCTGTGGTTGCGCTTGCCAAGTGTAGGTTTTTGGCTACTAGTATTGCCTTGTTGAGTTGCAAATTTATTTCCTTCTATGTCACCTACGTCGTTTTCCACCATGTTGTCAATGGGATCGAAGAGATGTGAATATTCATCCTCACTATCATTTGTTTTCTTTGAAAAGTTAGCATGTACATCCTTGGTAGAACATGCCCATTCACCGGTAGTCCTTTTGCATCTGGATTTGCCTACATAAGTCATATACCACCATAATTTTTATGTATATAACCAATAGTCAATTCCTAAGAACATATATATTTTTATGTAAAAAAAAAAATACTTGCAGCAACATATGTAGTCCATACTTGATCATTGCATTTAACCATTTTTGTCATTGGATTCCAAGAAAATCCACTTTTACTCAACATTTCCTGTACCAATCTATATTTTTTCTTGATAGTTTTTAAGCGATTAACACAATGCTCATGATTGAGAGAAAGGTTAAAGCTTGAATTTAAAGATGAACAAGCTGTAATATAAGCTTGATCTTTAAAGCCCTTATCCACTTTGTACCCTTTATTAGCTTGATGCACTAGTTCTAAAATAAGACACTTATCCATCTCTTTAGACCAAACTATGTTCTTTCCTCTTTTCTTCCCATCTCCTGTGGGCTGTTGAGACTCATATGCCTCCATTTCCTATAATAACAACTCACAAGTATGCTTAACCAATAACATAAGATCAAATCATTAAAAAACTAAGAATACTACAATTGAAAAAGACTATCATTTATATTATTAATATTTAGAGTTCAACAACGAAATACTACCATTGTTCAATAATAATAGAAAACAACGAAATACTACCATTTACATTTATCTACAAATAAGCTTGCTTGTTTTCATTTTTTCGAAAACACTTTTCAGAAAATTCGACATTCTTATTTTCCGTGTTTTTTTGTTTTTACTGAATTTTTTAAATATTTTAAGCAATTTTTTTACTTTTTAGACACAGCTAACATAAATACACCTAAAAAGTAAAAAAATTGTAAAAAAAAAATTCACTAAATACCAAAAATACAAAAAAAAATACAGGAATTCAGTACATTTTTTTTGTATTTTTATGTATTTATTAATTTTTTTAAATATTTTTTCACAAATTTTTTAACTTTTAGATACATCTAACTAAGGTGCATCTAAAAAAGTAAAAAAAAATGTTTAAAATTTAAAAAATATTCACTAAAAACAAGAGAATACGAAAACCAAAAAACTCAATTTTCAAAAAACTTAATCCAGAAAACTCAAACCAAACACACTGATTAGTTTTCGAGAATTCTATTGATGTCTTTGACCAAATCAGCCCACATTTCATTTATTATTTGCGTTCAAATTCTCTTTCCTTCTCTTCCATCTTCAGCCCTAGTTAATTGTATGTCAACGATATCATGAATAGGAGCAGTTTCATTGTTAATCTCTCCATCAACAATATTTAGAAGTGGATCATATGGCATCGCTCCTCGAATATGATTGTGCATGATACAAGTGGCAATTACTAACTTCCTTTGAGTTGTATAGCTAAACATTGTCTTTTCTACCAAAATTCTAAATCATTTTTTTAATACCCCAAAAGTTCGCTCAATTGCATTTCGTAGTGACGAATGCCTAGGGTTAAACAACTCTTTTGCTGTGGTGGGTACTTGACCTCTAATTTCATTTAGATGGTATCTTGTACTTCAAAATGGGGTAATGTAATGCTTTAGTAAAGGAAATCCCACATCAACAAGATAGTATTAACCTACAAAAGAATAACATTTGGCTTAATAATACATAATAAGTTCAAAAACATTTATCATTATTTATATGTTAAATATTTACCTGGAAGACATGTGATTCCATGTTCCCTATTAATAGCACAACCTAAGATTCTAGAATCAGATGCTAACCCTTCCCATCCAGCTAAGACATAGGCAAACCTCAAATCAAATGTGCAAGTTGTTAATACATTTTGTGACAACCATTGTTTTCTTCCACGAAATCGAGCTACAAGTTCAACAGAAACTTTCACACGAAGGTGTGTACCATCGATTACTCCCACACAATCCTACTTGGAGCAACATCAAATGATAGTATATAGAAAACATGTACAGGTATTAAACTATGTTATATATAATAAGATTTTACCTTAAAATATGGCCACAATCTAGGATTGTCATGTATCTCTTTAGGTGTCTCCATTTGAACTGAAGATTGCTTTAAATAATTATCTTCCATGCTTATTATTGCATCCATGACCATATGAAAATATCGGGACACGGTTTCACCAGATCGCTTGTAGTAGCGTTTTGCAGGACGACTCTTGACATTGTGTGATACTATGTGTAAGAATATTGCAACTTGCTCCTCAACACTACAATGCACAATATCTTTTAGCCTTCTAGTACCCCTAAGGATGGACACAAATTTTTGAAAACACTCTATGTTCATTCGTAGTAAGTCGTGACAATCTTCATCACTTTGTGTTACTTCACCCACAAATTCACATTACGTCAGATAACAATTTCGTTGGTCACTTATCGTACTCTAAGTAGTATGCACCATAAAAGTATGCTAAGACGCCAACAAATTGTGCATCTAACAATGTAAGTTCTTCATTATATTCGACAATGGTATCCATTTACAAATATGAAATCGATGTGATAAGCACATAAGGACATCTCACTAACAAAATGCAGCCCAAAAAAAAAAAAAAAAGAGGAGTAAATAGCTAGTTAGAATAGGAATTGGCAAAAACAAGTGAAAAATAGAAAACAACCCAAAAAAATAATAAAAAATAAAAAAATTATCAAGATGCATGATTAACTAGACACATTTGGGAAGAACAACACAATTGAACAACCACCAGATTAATCATATGTTTATGGTATAAAATGAGAAGATACATGTGCCCCTTTCATTAGTGCATGATTAACTAGACATATTTGGGAAGAACAACACAATTGAACAACCACCAGATTAATCATATGTTTATGGTATAAAATGAGAAGATACATGTGCCCCTTTCATTAGTACACACAGGGGCAAATATTCAGCACATAAATCATATAACCTAGATTGATCTTATAAGAACATATGATGTCATACTGGTTTAAGAATTTTTTCAAACATTTGGTACCTATATATATTGCCAAAGCAGAAAGCTAAAAATAATTTTATAGAACAAATAAATAGAACAAATCCAAGCTCAAACCAACAGAAGAATTCCATCATTACTAAACCCATGAAAAATTATTCATTGAAATCCATCATCAATTTATAGCAACGAACCCTACACAGAGATAGTAGAAAAAGCCTAACATAAATATCCTAAACTTCACCCACTTATCAATTCAAATAAAGAATGAATACAAATCCAAAAATTATGATAGCTATTTCACCACCTAAAAAAATTAAATAAATAAATAATAACAGAAACATATTTCCAAAATTATTCAAGATAAGACATTGATCTTTGTTAAGAAGACTAAGAATACAACAATATAGAGTAAAGAAAGAAAATAACTCACAGTGAATCACAAAGCTGAAATTGTTGATCTATTGTAAAGAAAAATCAACAATGCTCTGAGTTCTTGCAACTGGAGACGATGAAATATTGGGAGAGAGAAATAAGAGAGATACAATATCTTCAATATACTTAGTTGATTTTGTAGAGGGAAACATGAAAATATATATCAGATCAATCTGCATAAGAGGGAGTTATGGAGGGAAAATGGCAAAGAGGGAAACCAAAATAAACGTGCAAAGTTTTGTGGGAAAATTTAAATTTTCCTGTGAAATCAATAGAGTATCTAATATGCTAGTTTGAGTTATACAGGAAACTTGAGTTTCTATTACATTTTAGGACTCTCTTTCTAAACAAAAACTTAATTTTTTTAATTTTTAATTTTTTCTTTTTCTTTCACTTTCTTGTATTCTCTCTCTAACCAAACTGAGCCTAAGAAGATGAAAAAGAATTACATACGAGAATCCTCAATTACCTCGTGAATCTACGCTCAAATTGAACCAAACCCGACATGCCTCTTCCACTACTGTTTTCACCTCGAACTTGCCTTGCCCAACATTGAATCCACAATGCTCATGTTGAATCCATGACACTGAGCCACTCTCCATCAAAGCTTCAAACCCAAGTTTCTCGGAATTCACCGATGAACACTTTTGTCTTTTTGTGAATGAAAGAATAAAACAACCTTAATGTTTGTTAATATGTAGTTCGTTGATCAATTGATTACCTTCTATACATCAAAGAAACTCATATATAAACACTCTAAAGTATAGAATACTTTGGTTTTTACTCCTCTTTGAGAATCTGGACGGGTTCAACCCTAAAAATAACAAACAACGCACTTTATACTAAATAAAGTCACGAAGACTGCTCGAGTAGTGTGACTAAAGACGGTACTTACATATAGGACAATCACTCGAGTGCAACATCTACCGCTCGAGTAGTAAAACATGTTTCCTAGAAGTTCATAACGTAGGTAGAGATACTGGATGAATCACTTTACCGCTCAGCACACGAAAAACCACTTGAGCGGTTAATCAACTTTGACTTCTTTCAGCTTGATCCCTGCACTTAGTTAGTGAAGTGGCAAACAAGGAATGCTTAAAACAAGAAATGAAATGTCAGTGCAAACTCCTTTACTTAGGCATAACTCGGGTTGGGTTCGCATCTAAACTCTCATAACTCACAGATACAATAGAGTGAACAAAAATACAATTGAATAGAATTTTGTCCAACGGGATTGTCAATTACAAAAACCTTCCAATCTCTCTTTGGAAATTCTGTGACAAAACGCAGCTAACAAAGAAAATCCTAATCAGCCCAACCCATTACAACCAACAAAGACAACTTTCTCAAGGTCATGATTTGCAAAACAATTGTTAGTGCCACAAGAGTATATGATAGCATGAAACTTACGACAATATGAAAATTTGAAAAAAAACACCATGCTATCAGATAACAACATCACTTCAAAAATCTCCCCCTGAAACATACTCTCCCCTTTTGTCATGAATTGTCAAAGGAAGCTCAATGAGCAAAAGTAAGGACAAAAGCCACACAAGCAAGGATATGATGATATAATAACCAATAGCATGCGATAAATAAACAACGCATAGCAACATGTAAACCAACAAGTATCTAACTCCCTCTCAAAACAATCAATGTAAGTCCATACTCAACAAGCTCCCCCTCAACAAATAACCTCCTCATCGAAGGACAAAAAACTCCAAAAAGCAAAAAAAAAAAAAAAAAAAAGCAAACGAAAAACAAAAATTCAATATGGTAGAGCAAGTAAGGAATTTCATATTTGTACCTCAAAACACATAAGAATATCTAAAAAATATAATTACTTGAAAACACATTGTGCATAATCTCTAAAAGATTCATTATGAAAGAATGTGATGAAAGAATGTGATGTAACATGTGAAAAACATAGATCTCATGAGAAAAAAGTGTGTGTGTGTGTGTGTGTGTGTCTTGGAGTTCAGCAAAAACTAGATTCAAATCCTAGTAGTGATTTGATGGCTGGACCTTCGGCAAGAGAATTTGTGAATAACTGAGAAAAGTCAAACCTCTAGTAATCAAGAGGTATTTGTTAGGTAAACACAAATGCTTCCCTTCAAACAATGTATACATTTTTCTTGCACACTCATCGGTGGCTTTCACGCTCAAGAGTATGAAAACTAAACCAGAGAAGGATGGAAAAGATAGTGAAGCTTGGTTGGTGACTCTGAGGTAGCATTTTCCTCATGCCATGTGAGACAAACACAGATGGGTAAGCAGTGGAGGTGCAAAAAGATGGTAGGGGGTTAAGAGACTCAACATCACCTAAGATATGCTAGCACTGGTCAATTTCTCAAGAAAAATACAAGAAACGCCGCTAGAAGTCCATAGAGAACTTTGATCACTTATCTAGAAAAGTTTGGTATTTGCTAATCCAAGAGTGTATATAGAATGAGACATACTAATCCAAGGACATACAATCCGAAATGAGTAATCACCACAGATAGCACACACTCATTAACAAGTAATGGATATTCTCATCAATTCCAATAGGCACCAAGAACTTCTCAAAAATTTCAAGCTTGCAAAGCCATATAAGGAAAATCTTTTTGAATTTTTGATAAACAAAGTAAGAAAAAAATGAACAAATACTCACAAAAGACCCAAAAATAAGAAAAACAAACAAAAACTCAAAAAAAAAAAAAAAACCCAAAAAACAAATTAACCCAAGTTAAGCTTTCTCACCCAAACCGCTTTAGTATGAACAATGTGTGAGAATTGTAGTTCTTGGGTGGTGTCTTGACGTTGTGGTTCCCTTCCAATTCAATGGAAACCCTTCTCGACTTGGTTTTCAACCTCCTATTCCTTAGTTTAGGCAAACACAACCTCACTTTATATTTGGTCTCAAGCAATTCAAAACAATGAGGTCTAATGTGACCCTTAAGCCCATAGTGATTGCAAATAGGAATGAAATTATCCTTGGCTACACAGTTATGAGACAAAGAAGAAGATGAAATGATATTACCTCTAGCCATTAAATCTTAAGTGCTCTTATCCTTGGAAGTTGAGGCTTTGGATGGTGAGACATGTCCTTTGATGACACCAACTCCTTCTTTATCATTGGCCATGTATTGAGTACTAGGAACCGCATCCACACTTTGTGCACTTGAAGCTTTGACACTTTTGAGTTCCAATTCCAAGGAGATAATTTTCGCTTCAAGTTCTTTCTCAGACTTTGAACAAGTCTCCAACTCTTTTTCAAGATCACCATTCTTCTCTTTCAACTCATCATGAGTATGAAGCAATTGATTTCTCTCCATTATACATGTGGAAAGTTTAGTGATCAAAGACTCCAATGTCATTTGAGAGAACACTAACTTCCGCTTGAGCTTCCATGAGCTTTTGCTTTACTTTCTCTTTCCCCTCTTTACTTAGCACCTCATATTACCTCTAATACTCTTGCGTTGTATCCAAAGTGTTGCAACTCAAGTTCACTCCATTGCTCTTGAGGCTTCAAACTTCTCAAGTTTGTTACCAAGTCAAATTCATATGGCATCTTGAGCCCTTCTTCTATGATCCTCCATAGGTTTGCATTGAATGCCAATAAATACATCCTCATTTGAGCACTCCAGCATAAGTATTCATTACCATCAAAGAAAGGAGGGGTGAAAACATTCTAACTAAGAGTATACTCAACTTGCCCCTCGGCGTAATCCATTCGTCCCTTGACTACAAAACCGCCATGAAAGCAAGAAATTGTTCGTGCCCTTCTTTTCCTTGAGCCTCGTTGTCACTTTCATTCTTATTAGACTTTGATTCATCATCCCAAGTGATAGCGAAGGCGTTCTTCTTCCTTAATTAATTAGGGCATTCTTGAGCAAAATGGCTAAATCTTTGGCATTCATAGTATTGGACTCTTTGAGAATTTCCTTGTATATTTCCTTTCTTCTTGTCGATTATAGAGTTAATTTTGAGCTTATAATTGCCTTTGGATTTATGAGTTGACTCCAAAAGATTAGGCTATTTTTTTTTCCCTCTCTTCAGAAAAGACTTTTTGAAGCGTTTTATAAAAGCGTTTGTCATCTTGGAATCAAACTCACAATCCTAATCGGAATCCTTCCAACTCTATGAGCACTACTAAAAGTAACATCTTCTTTTTGTTTCCTTTTGAAACTCATATAAGCCTCATAGGTTTGGAGATTTCCAACCAAATGATCCAACTTGAGGTTATCAATATCTTAAGCCTCCTCAATAGCCGTAACTTTTGGTTGAAATTGATCAGGCAAGAACCTCAAAATTTTTCCCACAGTGTTTGATTCTGGTATTCTTTCACCTAAATTGAAGTTGGAATTCACAATGTCACTCAATTTCACATAAAATTCATCAAAGGTCTCATTACTTTTTATGGAAAGGTTTTCAAAACTAGAAGTGAGCCTTTGAAGTTTTGAGCATTTAACTGAAGAAGTGTCCTCATGAATAGTTTCTAAGATATCTCATGCCTCTTTTGCGACTTCATAATTACAAATACAACTAAACTCTTCGGGTGTGACGACGCAAAACAAGGAATTGATAGCTTTACTATTCCAACTACTATTTTGGTAATCGGTTGTGTCCCATTTGTCAATTGGTTTGGGGAATGTTACTCCATCAATGGTAATTGTAGGTTCGGTCCACTCGGACATGATGAATCGTTAAACTTTTTCATCAATTGCTTTTAAAAATGCTCTCATCCGAGCTTTTCAAAAAGAATAATTGGATCCGTCAAGTAGGGATGGTTGCACCGTAAAATTTTCCTAACGAGTTGAATCCATTATCACAAATCAAACAAATCTCGCTCCTTATAGCTTTGAAAAACAAAGATTGAGAGACCTGCTCGGATACCAATTGAAAGATTCTAAAAACCCCCGAGATATTGAGTTGTGATTATGATTCAATTTTAAACAACCAATAACAATCCTAATCAAACAATCAACAACAAATCGGCACAACAATTTAATGTGGAACCAAACCCAATGTGTCTTTTGCACCACTGTCTTCACCTTGAAATTGTTTTACCCAACGTTGAATCCACAACGCCGATGTCAAATCCATGATGATTAGCCACTTTGGAATCCACCAAAGTTTAAGGCCCAAGTTCTCCAAAATCCACCAATGAACACCTCTCTCTTTCTATGAATGAAAGAACAAAACAACCTTTGATGTTTGTCGATATGTAGGTCATTGATCAATCGATTACCTTCTATACATCAAGGAAACTCATATATAAACGCCTTCCAATATAGAATACTTTGTTTTTTTACTCATCTTTGAGAATCTGGATGGGTTCGTGATGAGAATGCAAAATGTCATATTTTTCTCCCTTAATGTTTAGTCTTTTATACTTATTTGGTGCCTAAATGTACTCATTATTCTTATATTTTGATTTAGGAAGCAAATGGAGGCGTTAAATGCAAAACAAAGCTAATTGGGCGATTTTGGACAGTTTCGACATCGCTTCGTAATCTGGGAATAACTCTCTCATCCGAGATCCGATTGAGATGATCCAAGATGATATGGAACACCAAGAAAATCCTCTACAACTTTCATGTTTCGAGTTTTGAGAGATACTGGCTGCATCAAGGTCGAAATCGGGCTTGAAGTTGCTGCACCTGCACTGTTGACGTTCCAGAACGTTTCTAGTACGCGAATCCGACGCGGTTTATTTGCTGAAAGTTTTCAGAGCTGGTGCACGAAAGTTCCAGCTGTAAACACCACTTTCCTAGTTATATTAGGACTTTATTTTATTTTTAATATCTTCTTTGATTAGTCTGACTTGGATATTGTTATTTTAAGATAATATTTAGAATATTTTTAGGAGATTTTGTAGGCTTCTAATACTGAGGGCAGAACGTGTATAAAAGGGGGAGGGAATCATAAGAGGAGCACACACTCTCCCTCTCTTGCCTTTTCTGGAACTTCTCCTTTGAGTTTTCATTATGGCCTTGTGTGGCTAGACTTTGGTAATCGGTTGAAGGAAACGGAAGCCTCGGAATCAATAAAACTGTGAGATCTAATTTGATTTCTTTATTGTTCAGTTTATGCTTTGAGTATGGGGTGTTCTTCTGTGCATATTCTCATGATTGTCTCATTTAATTACTAGGAGGCCTACTAGTAATTTATTCGTAGCAATCTATTGTTAGGTTAGATATCTAATCCATAATTGTTTGATCCCTCTAATTTGTGAAGCAACTAAGCTTTAATGATTTGCTATGTTAGAAATTATTATATCTTATGAAGAACACTTGACGAAATTAAATGCAACTTCTTGTGCTTGTGTTGTTTAGCTTCATCGAATCTCTCTAATTTTTAAGGCTGCTACTAAATTAAATCTTTAGCGCTTGTCTTGGGTTGTTTAGCAGTAAGGTTAATTAAATCGCTTGTTTCTAATTAACTGCAACTAAGGAGAGATAGAAAAATAGTTCCAACGGTGAATATTCAAGGTGTGAATTGATATAATTTTGCATCAATGATCAGTTGTAAAATTCCGATGGTGAATGTTGACTTAGGCCAAGTCTTGTTCTTTTGATAGATTTCAATACTTTAATTTGAATTGTTCCTTAGTTGTTCTTCTTAAAAATTTGTTCCTTTTTTCATTCTTTGATTAAAAAAAAAAAAAATCATTGGTTTTCAATAGTTATTTATTTTCATTACTCTAGATTTTTTTTCCTAATTTCTTTTTATGGTTTATTAGAGTTTCCTTATTTATGATTGTAACTCGATCTTCTAATCAAGGTAATTTTCAGTACGATCCAAAAATAGAGAGAACTTTGCGCAGGTTAAGAAAGGAAGCTCGGAGAAATTTTGAAAAGAACAATCTGGCTCTTGATTCCCTATTTGCTATCTATTCTGAAGAGGAGGAAGTCATAGCTGGTAATCGAACTTTGAAAGAGCTTGCTGCCCCCGATTTGAATCAACAACCTTTATTCATAACATTCCCTACTTTAGATGCTACTATTACTTTTGAATTAAAATCTGGATTAATACATCTCTTGCCCACTTTTCATGGCCTTGCAGGTGAAGATCCTCACAAGCATTTAAAGAAGCTTCATGTGGTATGCACGAGTATAAAACCCACAGGGGTGACTGAAGAGCAAATTAAATTAAGAGCCTTTCCGTTTTCTTTGAAGGATTCGGCTAAGGATTGGCTCTATTATCTACCCTCCAGGACTATTACCACATGGAATGAGATGAAGAGGTTGTTTTTGGAGAAATATTTCCCAGCTTCAAGGGCGGCCAACATTCAAAAAGAAATTTATGGTGTAAGGCAACACAACAGAGAGTCCTTACACGAATACTGGGAACGTTTTAAGAAATTATGTGCAAGCTGCCCCCATCATCAAATTAGTGAGCAGCTACTTATCCAGTATTTCTATGAGGGCCTGCTACCCACTGATAGGAGCATGATTGATGCTGCTAGTGGAGGTGCTTTGGTGGATAAAACTCTTGAGGTTGTAAGAAACTTGATTGCAAATATGGCGGCTAATTCTCAACAATTTGGCACTAGGCTTAACCTTCCATCTAAGCACGTTAATGAGGTAAATATTTCCTCCCTTGAATAACAAATTGTGAGTCTAATTTCTCTTGTTCGACAAATGGCTGTAGGTAATATGCAAATGGCGAAGGCTTGTGGGATTTGTTCGGTAGTAGGGCATCCAACCGATATGTGTCCAACTCTTCAGGAGGAGCCCATTGAGCAAGTGAATGTGGTGGGTGGTTTTCCTGGACAACCGCAATGGAAGTATGATCCTTATTCGAGCACGTATAATCTGGGATGGAGGGATCACCCCAATCTTAACTATACATCAGCCCACGACTCAAAACCGCCCAAGTTGCCAACAATATAAGCAACCATACCCCCCTAGACAACAACTGGGCCAAACTTCCAATTTTGGTATGTCTTTAGAAGATATTGTTAAGTCTCTTGCCACCAATACTTTGCAATTTCAACAAGAGACAAAACAATTTCAACAACAGGCAAGGGCTAGTATTCAAAGTTTGGACACTCAGATAGGCCAAATGGCAACCACAATTAGTCAACTAGAGGCGCAAAGTTCAGGGAAATTACCCTCTCAAACGGTAGTAAATCCAAGAGAAAATGCAAGTCCTATTGTTTTGAGAAATGGTAAAGAGGTTGAGATTCTAGTAAAGGTAGCCCTTGCATCATCAAAGCAAGAAAAGGAGAAAAACGTTGTTGCAGATAGGAATGTTTCCAATGACGATGATGTACCTAAGCGTGAGTTTCCACCTCTTTCTGATTATAAACCAGTACTTCCTTTGTCACGGCCCCATTCCGCCCCTAGTAGAATGGTGCCGTGATGGCCAGTAATCCGAGATTACCGAAGGCCAACTTACAAGGATTCACACACAATCAGAGTATTACATATGGGGCAAACATGTGCGGAAGCAATGTATACGAGTCTAATTAGTCCATAAAAGCTGTGCATAAGTCAAATGAAATGGCATACATCTTTACATAGCTTTACAACTTGGGTACAATAAAATGAAGTACAAAAATACATCTTGACCAAAAGGCTTCTCAAGCCATCATATACAAAACACAATGAATTACAAGCTAAGAAGCATGATCTTCAAGATGCTACAAAATGCGAGTCCAAAACAAGTTGCAAAGCACATCTAGGCGTCACCACCGTCCTGCTCATCACCTACATATATATAGAGAGGGTGAGCTTGGATACTTAGTAAATGGTACAAGTAATAAAGGGTTTGCATGAACAATATCCGAGATCTTTATCAAAGCGATACACATAATATCTTGCACAGAGTCAAAGACAAAACAAGTTCATCTAACAAGTCTTTCAAGCTTCATCAATCAAAGTCTTTCAAGGCTTTCAAGTTTCAAGGAGTGACATTAATAAAGGTTGTGCTACAAATGCTTATAATCCCCTAGCATGTACGGACTTTCAAAGGTTGTGCTACAAATGCTTATAGTCCCCTAGCACGTACGAACTTTCAAAGGTTGTGCTACAAATGCTTATAGTCCCCTAGCACGTACGGACTTTCAAAGGGTTGTTATCCAAAACGAGACTAATACTTTATACACAAAATAGGGATAATCATTCATGCTTAACAAATACTTTTCAAAACAAGGCAAAGCTTTATCAAAACTTTATAACATAGCTTTATTAAAAATACCACTCACATAGTTCTTCAATGTCGGGGTCAAGCGAGAGTCCAAGTCCTACAAACACATGGCAAAGTCTATTGAATGCACTATCAAACAAGCTTTACATGAACGCAAAGGATCTCGACATTCTTTCGAAGCCAAGGCAAACCAAAACAAAACACTGTTTCTCATCTCGGGAAGACATGCTGGGCACCAACCAGGTCTTGGCCGAGGTCCCACACCTCCTTATCGAGATGTGGTCCCGTGGGCCGCATTCAAGGGAATGAAGTCGGGAAAATCTGGGTTTCCCTTTCTTGAAGGACATGACGAACAAGAAGAACATGAACATGAAGAACATGGATGCAAAGATCATAACTTGTCACTACAAAATCTGAGATTTCATGTTGTGAATTCAAAAACATGGACCTGGGTACTCATACTCGAGGATTTTATAAAAACAAACACAAAAACATGAATCTTGATGCAAGCTTTCGGATCAAACAAGGCTTCTATTCAAGAACACATGAATGACACTATCTCTTTCTAAAACCAAACTTCAAATCGATGCATGGCTTACAAATTGTGCTCGATCATGCAATGCAGCTAGATGGAGAATAAGAACAACAAAAGTAGATTAAGATTCTAACCTCGACGCACAAATCAAACGGTTTGAACTCTAAGGAGCAAGCTTGGAAATCTATTTCCTCTCTAAGAACTCCTTCTTCCTTTTCTAGAGCTTCTCTCTCCTCAAGAACAAAGACATACAACAAATGATACATTTCTCTCTCTGCCGGCTGATTTAACACTCAGCTCAGACACGTGGCAATGGTTGGTTGGCTCTACCCAAAAAGGTGACTGAGTGAAAAGACAAGACCATGACAAAGTGTGTTCAACAAGCAAGATAGCATAGGCACTCCGGCAGGTAATGATCTCGGCTAATAACAAGGCATCGACAAGTAAGGGAACAATGATCTGGCTAGGAAGGACAACACTTGGCCTAGCTGTGCCACACCTCAGCCTAGATGTGCCACACCTCGGTCTAGGTCGCACCAATCCAGGAACAAGATCACTTAGGCGCAAAGGTAACATCTCGGCCTAGATAATACACATCTCGGCCTTGGTGAAGGTGGAGGTCAACCAAAGTGGTTCTAAGATGGTTCTAAGCTTAAGGTGACCTCGACTTGGATTAACCTAGGCTAAACACACACCAAACAAGGAACAAAGCATGCAAGTAACACTTATGCAAGACAAGTCAAGGTTTTGCAAATGCAACATGTCAAGACAAGACCATGTAATATATGCAAGCATGACCAGAGGAAAGCGAGGGTTGTTACACTAGCAGTCTAAAAAGTATATGGCTGTAGTGAGAGAAAGGGAAGAAAAACAGAAAATAAGAACAAAATTAAAATTATATATATATATATATATGTATATATGCATGAAATGTATTTGAAAATATAGATTTAATATATTATTTAAAAATTGAATTTACAGTCATATCTTTATTTCTATTATGTTTTCTTTCTTCTTCTTTTCTTTTGTTTTTTTTTTTTTTTTTTCCCCCTTTTGTGCTAGAAATGTAAAATACACACCCTATAAAAGTACTTTAAACTCTGATGATCTGTGAAAACTTGGCAAGAAGCCCCATACAAGTAATGACGCCAAATCTTCAAAGCAAACACCACGGATGCTAACTCTAGACCATGGGTAGGGTAGTTCTTTTCATGAGGTTTCAACTGACGAGATGCATATGCTATGACT